AATTTCATTGGTGGCACCATTAGTAAAACGAATATTGTATAAAAGAGATTACACCAAAAAGTGCTGTCCCAATAATATTTAAAATATAGTAGGATGTCAGAAAAATCTAAACTAAAGGATTATAAAAAGTTCATAAAAATAAAACTAACACACACGAAAATTTACATTATAATAGCGTTAATAACTTTGAGCACTAACTATCCTAATAATTGAATCAAAAAAATTGTATAGAAAAAACATACATATTATAATATATATTATTTTTGCATAATATATATTATTATATTTAATATATATTATTTTTTAATAACGTATATTATGATATTTAATATACATTATTTTGTTATAATATATATTATACAAAATTATAAATATAAAAATAAGTATATAAAAACATAGAATTATTGCTTCGTGGAATTCTTAGATTCTCCCTCAATTTGCACAATTTATGACAAAGAAATAATTCTTACATAAATACGGAAGCTTAGCGCTGATACATAATATAAAATGAATAGGCCTGTTACGCATCAAGGAACATAATAATAGAGTCCGCAAACACGTTTGGCTATCAGGATTCCCCCAGTAGCTTCCGGCGACACGATTACGAATCTCCCTGGAGTGCCGTTTCGTCCCGATTTACTTCACCAAGAAAAATTTCATTCTGCCTATAATCTTACATTTTTTCATCTATTCTCACCCTCGCTATACTTCCCCAAACCCCAATTCTGGCCGATGCGATGCAGAGTAGACTTTTAAAACGACCTATATCATGACAAACTGTCGAACTTCCACTTCATGCTATTTTCAGAATTGCTTCGGTACAGTCAAGTGAAAAATGACAGGGGAACATGTCTGTAACAGCATATTTAAAATCATTTTTCAATCGAACTTTCTATTTAGAAACTATAATTTGAACTCGTGTATTAATTCGTTACTTGCACGGATACTCCATATGGATCTCTGTCGACCTCTGGGTTAGGTTTGGGCTCGTGTTAAAATGTCGTCGTGTTAAAATGTTCACCCGTTATATAGAGTATTTGACAAAAATTAGATGATCAAGTATAAAACGGTAAAACTATTTAAAGAATTTGGAAAACGAAATAAATTTCTATGTAGATTCTGTAATTTCTGTAATTTTGAATGTGTTATTAAGGCAGACAATCTTTATTTTGCATCTCTGGAAGTACTGAATAATTTCAAATTCATCGAAATTGTAACTTCGGTTGTAAAATAAGGTACTAAATTACATGCAGTTTGGTGTTACAGTTGTTGACAAACTTTGTTGAAACATGTTTTAAGATTTTATCTTGAAGTGGAAAATTTGTTTATTTATGAAGCTTCTTTACTTTGAGATTTGTTTTTATCATTATATCTTGGGAACGGTAATGGTTTATTGTTTAGAATTTTCTTTTTTTTTGTTGGAGATATAATGCTTGTTCTGCAGAATAAGCAGAGTTACCTTTCAAGTAATCTTCCAAGCGACCAACAAAAAGAAAAAAATAAATAAAACAGTTGTACTTCCCTGCCTTGAAATATTAAAAATTTTTAACAGTATTTAACATTTTTTCGAAAAATGTGTTGTTTTCGAGATATTTAAATTTAAAATTGACAAATGCATAGTCCTCACGCGACAAGAAGGCACCTCTGTGTTTACGTATTCCCCCTCTTACTAGCTGCCCCACTGCCGCAGCTGTCGGTCGCTATTGGCTGAAAACTGTGACGAAGAACGTCGTTGGCGAATAGCGACCGATAGTTGTGACAGTGATGCAGTTAGCAAGAGGGGGAATACATGAACACAAAGAAGCCTTCTTGTCGCGTGAGGACTATACATATGATATATTGGATTAATGAGGACAATTATCTTACAGAAATATCTGATAAGGCTTAATTTAGCAGTCGAAACTGTTCTATGCATGATGTATACGTTCGAACAATTTCTCTTAATCTGGATCGAAACTATAACATTACAATCGTCCTCGGTTAAATTCAACTAAAAGTAGTCTTTTAAATGTTTAAAGACAATAATTGCTTTCTTACGAACATTTTTGCATTTAACTTCTACCGACAATTGTTCCGAGCTCATTTTGCACATTGGGATTTTCTATTCGAATTGAAATTTGAAAATTTTATACTGTATTTGTTTGTACGATTACTTCTGTTTTGAACACCCGAGTACTTGTACTTCCGTTAGTTTTCCTGTGCTTTTGTCTGTGTGCTAGTGTTTTGCGCGGAGACTTCTCTGGATATCGGTGTTCAAAAAGGGGGAAGGCATTTCAAACACCTGTTATATGCAAAAGGTAAGCTTCCAATCTTATTTTTTTCTGAGTGAAAGAACTGTGTGTGAACAAATCGAACGAACTGTTTAAACACATTTGTTGTTTACCTCCAGGCACTTGCGAATGTTGAGTCTCGAGTCATAAAACAGCTTACCATTGAACAATTAAGCCTTATCGGATACGTAATCGCACGGACAAGTTTTTAAACTAACAGCTATTAATCCGTATTTAATTAGCAATATTATACGTTTGTTGTAAGAAATGATTTTTACCGTTAGCTTCTCGTCTAACTTGCTTTGTTATACTATTTATTCTGATTTATTTTCAAATGTTACCGTAATAATTTCTTTGTGCAACAAACGTTTGTCATTTACATTAATCATTTTAAACATACAATCTTTTTGTCTTATAATAAGTATACTCGTTTTGATGCTTTAATTAAAATTTTTGTGAAAAACTGTCGATGTACTTTCTAATTTAAAAAATGAACAATGCTTCGAGGAAGAGAATGAAAGTGTAAGCATTAGTATTTCACTCTAAAAATTAACTTATGACAACTTATGAATATATTTAGTTGAACAAAACGTTGAAAATTATTTATAAAAATTGTATCTTTCTTTGAAGGCAAACCATTAACAATTACCAACAAATTTTCAATTCAATTCATAACAAAAGATAGCCGCATA